CATCCACCCTTTTTGCCACAAAATAAGAAGCAGCCTCGTCACTCTCCCATTGGACAGACCAGCTTCCTTCATGGGACACAGGGTAGCAGTCTGCTGCAGTCCTGGAGAGTTCCAAAGGGCCTCATCTTGGGACTGATACTTACAGGGTCCCAAGATGATTGACTTTGGTCAGTATTTTTCCATGGTGGCCACAGCTGGAGTCAGGTGATCTTTGGCACCTTTCAGAGTGGGCTGTGATCCAAGCAGGAGGGGTCTCAGGTGCATTTCCCAGGCAACAGAGTTCCAGCTGTAGGGTTTGTGACCCCTTAAAGAACCAGGTCTAACCCCCCGGGTGTCAGGCTGTACCCAGACACCAAGGCTCCAGCACTTAACCCACTGATGTTACCTTACAGATCTGACATTTTGAGGGGGCTGAACTTGTGAACTTAGCTCATGAACTTCACTCCATTGCTAGCCCCAGGATCTACTGGAGGAGCGTTTGAGCAAAACTGTGCTCCAGAAATGCTTCAGCCTGGAGAAGAGGAAGCTCTGGGGACAACTTATAGTGGGCAGGCACCTTCCAGTACCTGAAGGGGCTCCAGAAAAGCTGGGGAGGGACTTTGGATGGGGCTTGGAGCAGCCTGGGCTGGTGGGAGGTGTCCCTGCCCGTGCAGGGGTTGGGACTGGATGATCTTCTAGATCCCTTCCAACCCAAACCATTCTATGATTCTATGAAACAACTGCTGCATCTGTTATGAATTATTTTTTGACCTTTCTTTTTAGTTGGCTTTTGCACTCCAGTTGAACACAGAACAACTGCAGTGACAGGATTTTACATCTGATTCCTGGTGCCTGCAGAGGTTGCCTGAATTTCCCCAGGGCTTTCATTTCCCTGTGCTGCATCAGATGGTGCTGGAAAGCATCTGGCACAGACCAGGCCAGTAAAATCAGCATCTGGGAGCTGTGCAGCTTGAACCACACAACTGTACCCCAATTATTCAGCAAAGTAGCACTCTCAGGCAACTGCTGTCAATTACATTGGATCAGAACTGTCACCAGTGCTGGCCAAAAAAGCATTTCTGATCAGAAAACTGATTATTAACAGCTGCAAAGAAGGATCAGTATTTCTAGCTTCTTCTTTACAGGTATCTGCACAAATTAATTAACCTGGACAAATCCACTCGGATTAATCAGAGGATGTGCCAAGCCCAGCCAGTCCTGAGGCCAAGTCCCACAGCCAGAGAGTGCCTGTGCTAAAGGGAGAGGAGTTTTCCCAGCACAACCAGCACCTTCGTGCCAGTAGCTGGGGGCAGGAGAGTTGCCACATGATGGACCAAGCACTGAAGCTTCCCCTTCTGCTTCAGGGCCAAGTTTGTCACCTGGGGCAGCAGATGGGACCACATTTAAGGAAAGCCCTGAACAGATATGCTGCCTCACCCTGGCAAGGGAGGGAGCACATCAGGAAACACTCCACGGAGAGTTGAGGTTTGGTTTGCAGCTTGTAGGGGTTAGTGCTGTTCTGAGTAGCTGTGGTCCTTGTCCAGAAAGTGCTCGTGATTCATCATTTATATCCACCAGTCCCTCCAGTCCTGGGACAGCACATGCTGTGCCAACTGGGCCAAGTCCCACAGCCATTCAGCCCTTCTCCAATCCTGCAGGTGGGTGCAAGTCTACACTGTAGCTCTGAAGCTGCATAAACCCAATCTAACTGTTGTGACCTGGACATTATCCAGCTCTGTCAAATGGCTGCCCCCAGTCAGCAAATTCTATTAGTTTTTTACATGACAATAAGTGTTGACTTCTTGTGCCACGATGGGAAGTGTGTGTCTCCATTCTGTCCCTAGATTGTTTTAAGAGTCTCCTGGATCGTCCTTCTTTTTCACTTCTACTTCCCTTCCCTTCCAGAGGGTGTTGTAAAGGCTGTTTCTGTGAGCACTGGTGTGGATGGGCTGTACAGGCACCTCCAGGTGTATATGGAGAAATGAGTTGTTGGAAAACAGAAGGGAAGCGTGTGCTGGGTGGGTAAGTTTGAGAAGGTTTCCCAAGAACTCATAAGCTCTGGAGACTGATGGTCTTGTGTTGAAACCACAAAAGGGTGGTGGCAGCTACATGCTGGCAAAGACCACAGGGTGTGTACCCCTGACAAAATAAGGAGGAGCCTGAGGGACTTTCCACACACCTGCCCACTGAGCTGTGGTTGTGCAGGGGGCTCAGCCTGCCCAGCACTGCCCCCCACCTGGGGCCTCCCCAGGGATGTGTGAACGTGCCCCGTGAGCAGCCCCTGCTCGGGGCGATCCAGAGGCACCTCCAGAGGTGGGAGAAATCACATAATCCCAGAATCCCAGGGGTTGGAAGGGACCTGGAAAGACCCCCCTGCCAGAGCAGGGGCACCCAGAGCACATCACACAGGAATGTGGCCAGGGGGTTTGGAAAGTCTCCAGAGAAGGAGACTCCACAACCTCTCTGGGCAGCCTGGCCCAGGGCTCTGTCACTCTCACAGCAAAGAAGTTCTTCCTGAGATTCCCATGGAATCTCCTGGGCTCCAGTTTGCACCCACTGCCCCTTGTCCTGTCACTGGACATCACTGCACAAAGCCTGGCTCTGCCCTCCTGACACTGCCCTGAACAGATTTGTGCCCATGGATGAGGTGGCCCCTCAGTCTCCTCTTCTCCAAGCCCAACAGACCCAGCTCCCTCAGCCTTTCCTCAGCAGGGAGATGTTCCCCTCCCTCCAGCATCTCTGTGGCTCTGCCCTGGGCTCTTTCCAGCAGTTCCCTGTCCTTC